GATTCAGCCATTTTGGAGGACCATAATTCCTTTAGGTGTTTTGGATCACTATCCTGTTTTGTTTTGACTGAATTTCCTCTGACTCTATTTTGAAGGGGCTGCAAGGGAAGCTGTGCACAGCCCTACTCAGCTGGCGGGGCTTGGGGCCCCAGTGGGGAGCAGGATGGGGCCGTGGGTGGCTTGTCTGGTGGAGACAGAGAGCTGCTGCCCTCTGTTCAGGTGAGGAGACCCCTGTGTGGATCTCAGGTCAGGGGCAGGGAAGCAGCGCAGAGCGGTAAACAAACCTGCTGGTCCCTCCCTACCACGTGACTCGGCTCCACGGGGAGCAGTGATCTACCCTGGGCATCTCCTCGCTACTGCTGCCCACCCTGCACTGCCCCAGCAACGTGGGGGAGCAGCAGCAGTGAGGAAACCCCAGCACAGATCTTTGCTCCCTGCAGAACCAAGTCGCACGTGGCAGGGCAGCAGCATACAGCTGTTTCCCTGCAAGCCCAGCTCCGAAACTCCAAACATTTCGGAAACATTTCAGAAACATTTCAGATGCCTCATTTCATTTCAGAGATGTTTCTGAGCCTTCTGTTTCAATTTGGATTCAGTGTTTCAGGCACAGAAATGGCCCGAAACACCTCCAAAATGAAACGACTGCCAAAATTTTGCACAGCCCTAATGGAATGCCCTGTTCTCCTGGGCCTACGTATGCAGCTCCAACCGCCCCACATAGATGTTCCTCACAGCTGTGCTAAGCTCTGGCCTGAGGCCAGGCCCAACTCATCACAGCATTGAGACTAATTTCCTTTGCCCTGCTGGGGCCACACTCATACTGCCTCCCTCTCACAGAGGCCTCTCACTTGCCACCAGCTCTCACCCAGTCCCTTTCATCCCACCCTTCCTGGGCCTCACTTGTATCGCTCCTTCTCTCCCAGGGACCACATTCACCCCACCCTCACCCAGAGGGTCCTCAGGCTTGCCCCTCTTCACTCCCCAGCTAGCAAGTGGTGTTTCAGCTCATGATTAGGGCTCCTAATTGATATGATAATAGATTAATAAGTCTCCTCTGTATTGCCTTCCTACCATCCTCCATCACCCATTTCAGAAGTTGCTCTCTGTATGGCTAAGAGACAAAACGGTTTCTCATACCAATGGAAGTCATGTCATTCCTTCTTTGGGGCAGCCAGTGGTGTGACTAGGGCAGGGCAAAGGGCAATTGCCCTGGGTGCCAACTTGTCTGGGGGTGGGGAACAAAATAAATGGCTGCCACTGGCAGCTTCATAATTATACTTTTTCCAACTTTTCTAAGTTTCAGGGTCTGATGACTTCCAGCATACATGCGCTTCCTTAACTCCATAATGAGAAGGTGTCTGCAGCTCAGGCTAACTGTCAGTTACAAATTTAGAGGGGACAGCTGGAGACTTGGCAGGCAGTCTGTTGGGAAATGTCCTATAGTGTGTCCACTCTATTTGATAGGCATCTCAGACTGTATTTGAGAAGTCCATCTTGATTGTTCTTTGGTAGCTTCAGGAATGTCAAAGAAAAGGCTAGCATTAAGAACTTTTTTCCTCCTAAAAAAAAAGTTCCTGACAGACAAAATTATCACTAGGTATTAGCTTATCCCCAGGAAGGAAAGGTGGATCCTCTTGTTTGTTATGAACCCTTTGGGATGGGCAAATTTCAGGAGGTTCAACTTGTGACCTTCTACCTATCATTGGGTGTGTCCACATGTGCATTTATGCTGGCTTATATTTACTGCGCAGTAAGTTACTGACCAGTAAGTGGGAATAGACCAGCATCTACATGTGCAGATAACCTGGGACTAAATTTAGTCCCAGGTGAGAGCAGCCTGACATGTGCCCCTGTGGTCACTGGGGAGAGCTCCAGCCTCCGGCAACATGGTTGCCAGCGCTTGGGACTAACTTTAGTCACAAGTTGAAGCTAGGAGAGGTGACCAGCCAAGAGCCCTGGGACTGGACTCAGGCTGGCCCCCTAGTGGCTGGGCAGGCCAAGCAGGAAGGCCCCCTGGGTTACTGCACAGTAACACATCTACATGTACGTTACTGAACAATAACTAATTGGACATAAATTTGATACGTTCACGATGCAGTTATCAAATTTATGGTTAAGTTGGTGTACCTCACCATATTAACTGTGCAGTGCGGTTGTGCACATGTAGACACACACCTGTACTGCACAGTCATTTTGGTTACTGCACAGTAAATGCACATGTGTAGATGCACCCACTGGAAAGCAGGTATGTCCTGGATGACCTGAATTGTAGCCAAGATATTAGCTCTTGGAAAATTAGCAAAGACCATGTTTAGCAGATGTAGAGCGGAGCTGTGCTTTGACAGACAAGAGCAAATTCTCTCTTCCAATGTTAAGAGCAAGCAGGGAACCAGATTCATTTCTTTAAAGTCAAGAGGAGCATCGCGACTTCTCACTAATCCCTTGACTCCTAGATTCACTAGAGAAACAGAGCAAGAAGTTTACCCTTGTACCCCAGGTTTATGCAAATACATTTTAGTATTTGTATTTGGATCACCATGCTATGGCACCAGCCATGCCATGCCACTTTCTATTGTCTTCTGGAATTGTCTTAGCAGAAGGTCCAGATTTTTCATGCAGATCCAGACTTGCTCTGTGTGGTAGCATTGTTCTTGGAACTTCGGCAGTCATAGACCTTGACTGCTCAGATGGAGTAGAGCCAAGTTCTTTTAGAATCTGAGGCCATCTATCAGACACATGGAAAAATGGTGATTCTTTATCATAAAGACATGTAAGAGGAGTTGAGATTCTAAAGACCTGATTTGCCTTTTTGAACTGCAAATCAAGAGCAATTTCATGGAAGTCACAATTACACCTGTGAGGAACATGCAGACATCTCTCTGCCTACTGGATGGATCAAAATCAGGTAAATCCAACATATGCATTCAAGCCTCTTTTTCAGTTCCTTGCTTCCTGAGCTGTTCACTAGACTTGAAAGTTCACATGGCACTTGCAACTTATTTCTTCCCATGCCATGGTTTATAGTTGTTTTCAGCTATGAAAGATTCTCTATGGGTCTAATTCACATCCAGAATCCCTACATCTTTCTGAAACTTGAATTAGTACTACCAAGACTCAAGAACTTCCCTTTGAATCGTTGGGCTGATGCTTCTTTTAAATACCTTTTCCCCAACCTACAGTGCCGGCTGCAATTATCCTAGACTGAGAGTGAAATATGGGTGCTTATGATAGTGACTATGGTCAATTCCTTTCACTGTGCTCTGTGAAAATAAGGTGAAGCTGACTCTGCCTTTAAAATTTCTCCTGGAATAAATCTCTGAATTGCGTCCTAAACTAAACCACCAGATGTCAAAAAAGGTATGGATGGGGCTGCTACTTGGGTAGGAGGAAATGTCTTTGGACTTGGAAAGAAAATACATCTTTGTGATAATTGTGGAGAAGTTAATTAAACAAATTATCCCAAGAGATGGAGTAGGTAATTTGTGTGACCAAGTTGGCATGATAGTGGTGAATATTATGGTGGAACATTCTATTAAGTGGCAGTGATGTACTGTGGGTCTCTATTGCCCAGGGACCAATGCTTGCATTTGCACCCCCCTTTGGCCTCCACCCTTCTCGTAGCAGTACTTACAGTCAAGTTGCATGATAAGAACTGTGAAAGGCCCGGCCAGCGCCCCCTGGCCAGTGTCCAGGGGCCATGGCCCCCTTCTGCCTCCAAGTCGGTCCACCACTGTTAAGTGGTAAAGCAGCTTTCCTGGCATGCTAGAACTCTCTCCTCAGAAATATGCAATGTGGAGCTCTATTTGACATTACATTTTCTTAAAAAGTGAGGCTAAATTTTTCATGAGAAATCTGCCTTTTATGTACTTTCCAGATTCTACACATAGTCCTAGGCAGGTTCTCAGGAATGGGGGCTCTGCAGAGGAAAAGGAAAGCATATCATTTCTATAGATCCATGTTTACTCACCTTCTTTGTCTTCTCCTTTGGCATCCTTGCAGGAGATTTTTGAATTATCAGAGGGACCAAAGGGGGTTGGGGTTACAAGCTCTTACATACCTTGTAGGTCTGCCCCATTAAAATCAACTGCAGCAGCTCCAACCTGTACACAGTCTTGTGGCACTGATCATTTGGGATGAAATTGTATATCTCATGGGTGTAGATCTGGAAAAGCAATATGCTCATATAAATCCCCTACAGCTCAGTTTATGTAAGGTTAAGCCCTAGATTTGGTCTGTACATCCTGAATCTGTTCTTCTATTGGATTTACTCCCCTTCCATTGGTCACTCCACATCTCACTGTTTTGTTTTCACTTGGCCCACTCTTTGCTCTGTCTTTAACCCCAATCATTTTTTCTCTCTGTATTTGTTTTTACTTTGGATCTTTTTTATTCTTCACACTCTCTCCTGAGTGGAATGTGAACCCAAGTAGCATTCAAGTTCAGAGCGAAACTTTGATACCGACGGCGCTTGAGTGGATTCAGTATTTTGGCACAGTGAAGTCACCCTGTCCAGTGTCTGTGCATAAAAGTTGGGAAGAGGATGGGGTATAAATGAGTTCCTGGCTTACCATCAGCTGCTGTGTGAGAGTTACAGCATTTGGGACTTATCAGTTCAACAGGTAGATTTTTGACCTGGGAAATCCGTACCCACGCTTCTCTGTTGCTTTCCTCCCCTCCTTAGATGGACTCTGTTTGGGCAGTCTCTGCTAGCCATCCAGAGGCCAAATTAGAACCCAGTGCTTATCAGAGGGCACTGAGACATGCCTTATATGTGACACTGGACTTTCCCCCTGGAAAGCTACAGTATGGGGAGGGAGGGGTCCCCTCCATGCTGTGGATGATGACGTGTGGTAGATGTGTATTTTCTGTTTCATTGCTTTTCAGGAAGACAAGATCTGCACCGACAGAGTTGTTAAACCCTCCTCCAGAGGCTGGGGAGGGGAGGGAATGAGGCAGGCAGGGAGGAGGCTTTCTCATTTCACATCTCCAATCTCAGAACCACTACAGGAGAATTGCAGGCAGCCGTCCTCACTGTAATACCCCAGCCTCCGCTCCCCCTCCTTTCTCTCTCTCTCTCTCTCTTTCTCCCTCTCTCTCTCTCTTTCTGTCTTTCTATTACTGTCTCAGAAAAAAGAATACAACACACTAGCTTCATTTGAAGCAACAGCAATTTAAATGCTTGCAGCTCAATCACTGTATTCAGATACTGCTGGAATAGCAGAGCATTCAAGCTCAGGCAGCAGCGAACTGAAAACCTGACCATTTGAAAAAGAAAAATACTGAAGGAAAGAAAGAAAGAAGAAAACCCAACAACAATCCCATAACTCGCTTCAGCTCATTCATATTTCTTCCCCCAGCAGCACTGGGGAAGGGACTGGGCAGCTCGGTAAGGAATGCAAATGCTTCTCCTTCATTTCTTTTGTCCCTGTTAAAATTTATTCTTACAGGGGATTTTAATGCAATGCATCTGGAGTGTTATTTTCTTTCCTGGTTGCAACCTGAAGTCAAAATGTCTGGCTGTGTGCATCCCTGGTTTTATTTTTTTAGGATTAAACATCATTGGTTGAAGCAGGGAATAAGTATTAATTGTTAATCATTTATAGATGTTCACCTTTTTAAGTTGGAAGCAGATTGAAGTAGTTTGGATTGCAAATGTTTATCTAGTGAAATACTCCCCTATATGTGTGCTGTCTCTTGCATACATATTATTATTCTATATAGAGAGAAAATATATAGAATAATAAGATATACAAAATCCAAAAAGGCAAACGTCTGCCCATGCCTCTTGGTCCATCAGTCTTGCATTGCTAAGGCATGCCTGTTTCCATATCCAGCAGCACACAATGGGGTGATGTGGCTAGCATATCTGTGTGTGTGTGTGTGTGTGTGTGTCTATATATATATATATATATGTAGATACAGTATACACAGATATATGTCCTGTGTGTGACATATATCTATCTATACATATATAGACACACACACATACACACAGACATATCTGAGCCACATCACCCCCTTGTGTGCTGCTGGATATGAAAACAGGCATGCCTTAGCAATGCCAGACTGATGGACCAACAGGCATGGGCAGACGTTTGACTTTTTTGATTTTGTATATCTTATTATTCTATATATTTTCTCTATATATAGAATAGTAATATGTATGGAAGAGACAGCACACATATAGGGGAGTATTTCACTAGATAAACATTTGCAATCAAAACTACTATCTATATATCTGCAATCTATCTATCTATCTATCTAGACACACACACAGGACATATATCTGTATATACTTAGATATCTATCAGCCAACAACCCTGGGAGGAAACAACATTAAATGGCTAGTGTGTGTTTAACCTTTAACGTGCTGCTGCACAAAGGGGAGAAATACATATTCTCCTACAGCTTGCTTCCACCTTGTTCATCTTCCTGGAAGCTTACAAGCAGTGAGTATACAGCAAAGTTGTAAATAACAACTCTGCCAGGAGACAAAAATGAGTCTCCTTCTAGAAGGAAGATGACAATAGAATAGGAAAGGTGCTTTTGGATTCTAAACCATATTTGTCTCCCTGATGGAAACTAGAACCCCATTTCTCTTCTTCTGACCTGTGCAAACTTCATCATATATTCCTTGTTGCTTAGCGGGTATTATTATTATTAGTTTATTTTTTTAAGATCCAGTGTATTGTTTGCTCTGTGGTGAACAACAGATAAATGGAGATAAATTTTAATTGGACTTGTCTTTCCTTTTTCCTTTGTCTTTCTTACTCTGTTAGTTTGAGTAAAGATGGTTTGGTTTAAACTGTTCCCTGTATGGGTGGACACAAACATCTGCTTGGGAAAAGAGCTGTTTGAAAGACATACACATCCTTTATCCCAAATACTAGCCAGCAGTGTGAGTATCTGCCCTATTCTAAAGAGAGGTAGTGAGAAATGGTCAACTTGTTTTAGAGAGAGAAGCAGACACAGTGCATTTTACAAGAAGCATTAGCTGCAGAATAACAGGGAAGCTTTCTCTGTGGTGTTCTCCAGCAATGATGGCATTTGTATTAGGTCTACAGTGTTAAAAGAGCTCATTAAAGCATGCTGATAGCACCAAAGCAAGATGAATTTTGCTTGGTATGAGCAAAAGATGGAGCTTTGTTTTGGTCCCTTCTGGCTTGGGAGGAATTCCTTGTGAAGGAGTTTCCTGTTGTTTTTAGGGAGAAGGCTATTTGAGGGAGCATCATGAAAAGTTATCAAATGTTGATCACTTAAATAACAGCTCTCCCCTGCTGCCCAATCTCCAGGAGTGGCTACATAGCATGTTGCTGTAAAGGAGGGTACTGCAAACCCAGTGTGAATGCCTGGAAAGTGTATTGTTTCAGTACACCAGTCCATAGGTGTCCAAGCAAAAGTCCCAAGAGAAATCAAAACATAGCACTGAGTAGTAAAGGTTCAACATTTCTTAGTTCATTGACAACAGTATACTGTATTACAAAGACGATTAACCCTTGAAGGTTGAGGACATCTCTAGTATAGTGCACCTTGCAGAGCTACGGTGATACAGGTTAAACAAGATTGCACTGAACATAAAATTAAAGAGTTCCTGGGGATTAACTATTGTGGAGCTCTTATGCAGCATCTTAGCCCTGGAAAAGAAAAAAAAAGAAGTCCACTTAAAGTGCTGAGGATATGAGGACAAAAGTGCTTTTAAGTGTCTCAGGTGAAAAATTACTCAATTAGGATAAGCTAATGAACAAGTTTCTGTGATGAGATGATGAATGAAGGAAAGAGTTTCTTAAAGAGGGTTCTGATGTGTGTCAAACTCCACTTGTCAATAAATTCTAGACTGGGTCTGATGGGCTCTGAAGCTTAGGGCCTGGAGGGGGAGGAAGAGATGTGAGCTATGAGATATGGCAAAGGGGTAAAGCAGGCTCCAAACTGAAACATGCTGGAGGCTACGTTCTGAGACATAGATGTTTTTAAAAGGACACCATAATCAAATTAAGCTCTGGATTGGCAGGCCTACACAGTGAAACCTATTTATCTACAGAGCAGATACAGTGCGAGCAGCAGCAGTGTGAGCTTCCTTCACTGTGCTTTCCTGCCAGTGTCCTTTATGCCCCCGCCTGCAGAAACTGCTTCTAGGAGTGAACAGCTAGTTCATTTCCCTGTCCAATGACATCCTTAAGTCCGCCAGCCATCTGCAAGTCTGCAGTGTCTTCAAACAAATAAATAAACAGCGACTCTTCTGTGAGTTTCCAGTTCTCAAAGATCACCATCAGGCAGTAATGACTTTTGATGCCGCCTCGCATGGGTTGGTCTTGAACTGGTAATGTGCAAAACCTATCACCTAGCCTCTAGACCACCTCATCTTTTTAAGGGAACAGTGAAAGAGAAAACTATTCAGTTTCTCGATCAGGATGAGAGAAGTTTAAGCAAGATCTAAAGAGTTGCCCTCTCTGGACAATGAGAAGAACCAGGGTGGGGTGGTTCTTAGAAGAAAATTAAGATGGTGGGTGCTAGGGGTGCAGACATATCCTTTCAATGCATTACTTCTTTAACTCTTGCTCTATACCTTTGATCAGGGATGTCAAATTAACCCCAGGCCTTGGCGCCAGTGGAAGCTCTGATGGGTCTGGCAGTACTGGGCACAGTGCCTGGGGCAGCGGTGGGGGCAAGGGGTGGCAGCAAGTATCTGATGGTGGGGCTCCAGGGCAGTGGCAGAGGTTGCCTAAGGGCCCTGAATTCTGTGGTAGGCCCTGCACCCCCACCTTCAGTAGGCTGCTGGTAGTCCAGCAAGCCAGATTCAGCCCATGGACCATACATTTAAGACCCCCACTGTAGATGACAGATTTTTAACCAAAAATATCTCTGATGCAAGTGATTGCTATTCCTGCAGACCTTTACTTACTTGGCTGTCCTCCAGACTGTCTTCTGTGTCAAATTGTTTGTCCAGACTATTCCTGGTGTCTGATTTATTCTCCCTACCCCATAACTAGAGAAAGCCACGGAATGCAAGTGAGCACAACCACCTCCCTGTAGCAAAGGAAGATTTGGTAGTGGGGAGTGCTGGCCCTGCATGCCAGAACCAACACGTTTGATGACAGATTCTTTCCTGTCCTGTCACATTATTGTGAATTAATAAGCACACTATGTGCACATGTCCAGGTGTATTCTACACACAGTTGGGAGGGCAGGTCAGCAGACAGGGTTCAGCTTTTCTTTGGTCTGGATCTTTTCTGATAAATTTCTGTCACAAAGCTTCTCTTTCTTCCTCCTTGGTTCTTTCTACATGTACTTTTTTCTTGATCCCTTTCACCCATCCTATCCTTCATTCAGTCAGCCTCTCACCTTCCCCATCCTCCTTTCCCATCTAACGTACACCTCTTTCCTTTTTCAGTACTTTATCCTTTTTTCTGTCTCATTCTCTTCCTTGCAGTCACCTTCCTTCTCAGTTATGCCCCAGTTCAACCCATCCTCTCATCTCAGTGGGTGTATGCCTGCCAACCATTTACAAAAAGTAGCACAATGTACAGACTGAAACCTGACATAATTATACACCCAGGTAGAGAGTGTAGTAAATAATCTTGGTTTTCAACAACTCCCCTAGTCTCTACTGTTGGCATTTTAGTCTTGAGCAAAATGTATATTCAGTTTGTAGACACATACGTGCATTCTGCATATAGCAGTTCCGTGCATTCATTGTATATGTATACACTATTGCTGTGTGAGTACACTCTTGTCTGTACCATATATATACCTATATATGCTCTGTGTTCCTACAGAGTACGTCCATATAGACACAACATTTTACTGCTCTAGGTTTGGATATTATATATAGTGCTTTGCAAATGCAAGACCTCGCTCCTTCCCCAAAGAGTGATTGCTGATCACTTAGTTATAAATGTCTTTGCAGAAACACAGGGAAGTGAAGATCAAGAATGATGAGAAGAGACTGCATTTGTTTAGTTAGTCATGCATATCAAAGCTCATACTTGGGGGGCTGCATTATCTAAAAGTGTGAGTTGTGTTTATAGTCTGCAACATCTGATTTGCAACACTGTCTACGCTGTTATGGTTCCAAGTCTGAGCCTGTAGTTGCTTTGGTTGAGTCAGTCTGTCTGCAGTTGCAGTGGCTGTGAATCAGTGTCAGCCTGCAGTTGTTATGTGGATGAATCGGTGTTGGTTTATTACGCTTGTGAGTCCAAGTGCTTGCATATAGCTCTTGTGACTGTTAATTATATTTTATCATTTCTCTGGATGTGGCTCCAAGTAGGAAGGAGCAAAACTGTTTTAATTTATGGGTAACATCATTTGGCAGTTTCTGATTTTATAACAATGGTTTTGCCTCTAGACCTACTTTCTCAATCGCAAGGCCTCCTGCAGAATGCAGATAAA